TCAGTTATAGACCAATCCTCGTAAAATTCGAAATGAAGAATGCTATAAAACTATGCTTAGTCGAATTTCATAACTTACGAGTAGTATTTTGAAGACAAAATCGAAGTGGTTTACGTGAACACCTGCCGTGTTGGCCTATTTCACGGTGGTCTTTTTCAGCTGGGCTTGTGTGATGACTCACCTATGTGTATCTTACACGCAGATGGCAATTTTTGTACATAGCAGTGCCGGTCCATATATAAGCACTTTTCTCAAGTACTTGGGCTATCTAATCTCTGACTATTGCTGTATCATTGCTTAACTTCCGAGAGGCAAGAACATCACTTCCGTACACAACCTCGCAGATGAGATGGCCTCTGTTGAGTCGGCAACAGAACCTAGAGGAATTTGTTCTTACTCACAGAGAACACACGGTGGTAAATCTGGTATGAACAGAGATTTCCCTGAACATACCTGGATAAGAAAGGAAAATTCAATGGTATCACTTGTATAAGATACCTTTCATCGTCATTCACACTTCTCATTCATCCGATACACTCATAGAGAATAACATCTGACACACTCACTCTAGGTATACAGGCGGGTAAGATCCGTATACCCCTAGATTCATCCTGTATCATATATACTTAACACCAACTCATTTTCAACGCTTAGTACCACAGTCACTCCTTTATGGGGTATCTGTTGTCTTCGGCAATAGCACCGAAATCACCTCGAATTATAGTTTCCATCGTAAATCAGTCCTTTAACCAACAAATTCTCTTCCCGCGATTTGGGTTTAAACCACAGCCAAGTGGTTTAAAGTAATATTCTGATGGGGACTTTAATTAGTGAATAGTATCGATATAACACGATCCTCATGAATTTTAACCGTATTCAGTAAAGCCGTTGATCTATATTGCCCATTTTCAATACCAAACACTTTCGATTGTAGGAAAAATTTAACTTCATAAAAGATTTATCGTGTCTTCAATAAATTTAATATACCAATACACGTAACCAACGTTTCAACATTTCAAATTGTTGTATATACATACATATATTTTTATATAGGTCAACGGAAAGTTAACATTTATCTTATACAAATGTACGACATAGAGATAATGTAACTAACCTCCTACAAACTAATTTATTTGTGGAACTAAGACAACATCCACATCCTAAATATAAGATTTCCCCTTCTCACCAACTGTTAAGGATATTTGGTACATGCTCACTCATACATTTCTAACAGAAGCTGTAAACAGCTGTTTTGTGGAGGATGCTTTTAACATTGGAATACGAGCGTAAATCATAAAACGACAAAAATAATTTCAAAACACGAACCACACAAACTGTAACGTAACGGTTGCAGACAGACAGGCATTCAGTAAGATGCTGTTGCAAATGTTTTTTAGAAAATGTTAGTACTTAACGGTAACTCGATGCGTAAACAACAGTTGAAACGGAATAACGGATGATTGTTAAAAATAACAAATATAATGAAGAAAGTGTGTGTTTGTGTCTGAGTGTTAAAATTGTTGGTGTTTTAAAAATGGGTGTGATTTAAGATTATAAAAGAAATTAAATATATAAATAAAACTAAATTATTTAAAAATATATTTGTATATAACGAAAATTAATAAAAATGTACATATGTAATTAAAAATTCATAATAAAATATATGAGAAAATATTAAAAAATTTATATAAAAATAATATAAAACATTGAATATAAAAAATAACATGAAGTATTTTTTAAGCACTTGTTATGTATTTGTGTTTTTTAGTGCATACCGGTCATTTGGCCCATAAATCATTTTAAATAAATAAAAAGTTATATATTAAATAAAGAAATGGAAATGTCATAAATATGGAATATAACCCACAATATTTTTGGAGACAACGCGTTGCAACGTGGCATCATAACACACGTCATAAAATGTTAAAGTATTAACAAAAAAAATTATTTGGAAATTAAAATGTATGTAGGTGGTTACTATTAATATTCTGTTATAAATATACGTACATAGTTTTTTCAATATGTTAATAATTTTTAATTTTGTGATATAAATATGTTAATAATTTTTAATTTTGTGATATAAACGTATGCGTAATGATTGAAAAAAAGTTTTATTGCGGTTTACATATGTATATAAAAAGTTCTTGAAGTGAAAATCATATGGATGGTACATACACATGTAATTATGTACCGAAAGTGAACAAATTGCGCACCATGATTTTGCGAAACTCATTGGTATTACATTTGGTCTTGATACAGTTTAGCTTTTTCTAGTTTAAGTGCTCCTAGAATATTATTTTAAGGTTATAAAGTTAATAAATTATAAAACAAATATGATAAACAAATCAAAATACTTCGTTTTGAGTAAAACAGCAGATTTGTGTGGTTTCCGGTAGTTTAGTGGTTTGACCTATAGTCTGTTAAACCGGAGATCGTGGTTTCGACTCCCGCCTGAGAAACTGGTAGGGAAGCGCACAACAGGCTTTATGGTGGACTAAGAGTATTTCTTCGGATTTCATGTGATATTTAGCTTTCTTTTAACTTACTAATTATATGAATGACTTTAGTATGACACATTCTTTCTAGTACTTAGTTCAAAAACAATCCGAATTTTGGACTATACCAGCCTTGCAATAATCACATTTTGCAGCAAATCTCTAATTTCTTGAGGTATTCAGTTTAAATGAAATTTGCTGTAGCGCTTGTTTTTATACCCGCCATCAAAACAGATGGGGGTATATTGATTTTGTCATTCCGTTTGTAACACATCGAAATATTCGTCATATGATCACAAAAGGAGATATATTCTGGGTTAAATGAAATTCTAAGACGATATAGCCATGTTTGTCCGTCTGTCTGTCCATCCGTCTGTATGTTGAAAGCAGGATAGAGTCCGAACGGGACATGCTAGAGGATTTAAATTTCTACAATTATTCCCTACATGTAAGGTTTGTTTGGTATTAAAAATGGGCAATATCGGTCCACGTTTTCGGATAGCCCCCATACAAGTGGACCCCCGAAAAACAGCTCTAACCGGCATATCTGTTTTAAGAGTACGAGTATAGCGATGAAATTCGACATAAATGAGTTTCATATCATCCAAAATCTCCCTACCAAATTTTGTGTGAATCGGTCCATAATTGACCCTACCCCCATATAAGGTCTCTACACGCCTGGTACCAAATTGACACCAAAATTTTCAATAACATCAAGTATATACATACATACAACAACAACATGTAATGTAGACCACGCAACTTTGCCAACATTGCAACAATTCGTTGTCGCAATCTAAACTTTATGCACATCCGTTGTCTAAATGCTAACAAACGTGGTAAGCCCACTATTTACAACGTATTTTGTGCAGGCTTGAAAATACGAGTATAGTGATGAAATATAAGTTTCAATGGAGCCAAAATCTCTCTATTAAACTTTATGTGTATCAGTCCATAATTGAACCTAATCTAACATATAAGGTCCCCTTCAAAAAAAGACTTTAACGATCATTACTGGCTTAAAAATACGATGAAATTCGACTCAAGTAAGTTCCTTGCGAAACAAAATCTCTTAACCAAATTTTATGTAGATCGGTCCATAATTGACGTTACCCCCTATAAGATCTCCTTCAGATAATTAATTTAATGCTCATTACTGCCTTAAAAGTACCAGTAAAGAGATGAAATTCGTCACAAGTAAGTTTCTTAGGAGCCAGAAACTCTCTACAGACTTTTATGAGAATTTGCATATGATTAACCCCATATAAGCTCCCCTTCAGAAAATGACTTTAAAGCTCATTATAGGCTTAGAAATACCAGAAAAGCGATGAAATTTATATGAGTTAAAATCTCTCTACCAAATTTATTGAGGTCCGGTCCATAAGAAAATTACTTTTTTGGTCAAAAAATATTATAAAAAATTTTATAAAAAACGGTCAATAATTAACCCTACCTCTCATATAAAGTATTCATCAGTTAATTTGATGTGTAATGTCAACGTCCATGAACATTATTACATTGGTAATTATGATAAGCCACCTTCGTAAATGGCACTCAATTATTACAACGAAACTAGAAATGTATTAGATGTTTTCATGTTTAACAAATTAAAAATTTAATTAGAATTTCGTGGATTTGAAAACAAATTTCAACTGATAATTCTTATCTCCTAACTAAGCAATTACTACTTCAATCCTTTCTCTTAAAGTGTTGAAAGATATTTTCTACAAAAGTACAATTTTAATGCCAACATGCTTGACTTTTTGAAATTAACAAGAAAAAAATCATTAAAAGAAACGAAAATAAAAGAAAACTGAACACAAAATTGTATATTCATGATAGTAATAAAAATTCTTTTGTATTTTTTATTGTTATAGCAACATGACAAGAGTACTGGGAAAAAAATGTGTTCTAATTAAGTTTCTTAAAAAAAAAGAACACCAGACAATGGTTGCAATTAACTGAGCTTTTTTTTCATGTTGTTGCTCATACAATCATCAACAGCAGCAGCAGTAGCAAACAAAAGAATACAGGAAAATCAACAAATTAAAAGTGATTTAAATACACTACTAATTAAAATAGACAATTTAAAAATAAATGTTAAGAGTTGAAATTCTTTTTTTTTTACACTTTATGTTATTTCCTTTTCCTATATTTAAATACATACACAGAGAAAACAGATTCGTTGTCACAACCGAATTTGTTTCCAATCGAATTTGGTCGGTTACGTGTACTATCACATGAATCGATAGCAATTACCGAATATTTTGTTTGCCTACACTGTATTTTTAGAACATAGGTTAGTTGTTATTACCGAATTTTCGATTGTAGTCAGTGAACTTTTAGTGGGCGCAACTACTGATTTTAAAAAACAATTCGGTTGTGGAGAACGAAACTATTAAAATTAGGAACCAATTATAATATACATATGATCATATTGTTTTCAATTTATATTTTATTTATTTATTTGTAAATATTTTTTTTACACAATTTTGTTATTAACTGCTCGATTTGAATCTCTCTTAAATCGACTTCTGGTATACTGTGTTTGATAGGCAGCACAGCTAACAATAAGTAGGGAAATAGGTGCACCACGCAATTGAACATCATTAATCTGAAAACAAATAAAATTATAAAATACAATTTTTCTTTAACTAATTCAGATTTTCTTACATTACAACATTAATCAACTGTTTGATTTCACCTAAATGATGACAAAAAATTACAATATGTTAAGTTCTTCCATTCATGGTCCAATGAAAAAATAAGCGACTTTATTGGTAGCATACCGACAGCGTCAAATACTTATTTCGGTATCAGCTTGTGTCAATCAACAGCTACTACTTGGATGTTTCACATAAAAGTATTTAGTTGCGATTTCTGTAAATTAAAAATTCAATAAAATTGAGTTCCGTAAATAAGTATCGATCTCGGCAATCGCTAGTTACCTCATAATTACAAATAATTACAAATGAAGGAGAAAATTTTTCCACACATTTTCATAATTCTCTAACAAAAATAAAAATTATTTAGTTGGATATATTTTGTTAATGAATCAACTTACATTAACTTACCTTGACAATTATTGATATATGTACGTTTCCACTAAATGTATTTCTATTTACATGTAAATTATTTTTGAAATAATAATTTTAAAATTTTATAAAAATATGTTTGTTTTTCTTGAGATTTTATTTTAGAACTAAATTTGTTATACATATGTCAAGAAATAAAAAACAATTTTTTATTGTATTCAGTTGGAAGTGCCAAATAAAGCTTAATTATAATCAATATACTCGAAATTTATAATTTTTCCGTTGCAAATACCGAATTAAGCTTTATTGTATTTACTATGATCGAAATTATTATAATGTTGATAGAAATATAGGGAGACAATAACAAATAACCTTTTTTTGCCTTAAATATATTAATATAACCAAATTTTTGATTGCAAGGACTGATATTTCCAATTATAGTGAATAATTGTAAATTTAAATTTGATTGTGCTTGACGAAATAATAAAATAAAAGTTTGAAAAGCTCAAATTGGTTCTACCAACTACATTAATGGTTATATAAACCTCAGTTCGATTATAGTTATGTATTTTCAGTTCTTATTATAAAGAATTAGTTGAATTTATAGACTTTTAATAATTACAATTAATATTCTTTTACATAAACTAATTATTTGTTACTGTACCCGATTTCCGATCGATCTTTTTTCTGTGTGTATCTATACATACATATATAAATAATTATTTTCTACATAGTAGTCAGGAACTTTTATCATAGTTAAACGGGAAACATTAAACAGGAAAACTAAGAATGTAACATGTTTTTTTTCAAAATATGTTTTAAAATTCGATTAGTTTTGATAAATGTAAATTCAAAATTTCGATTTTATATTATTTTCAAGAAGTCTTCTTATTGAGGTTTTGTACATGCCGCTAATAGACCTTCTAATGCAGCAATATTACAGCCTCAAATAGCCATTTAATTTTACCACATTTTATGATCTAGTAAATGTAATGGTAGTTCCAAATACAAATACATACATACATTAATTTTCGTTGTAAAATACCATATATAACACATCCCACACAACACAGAAGTGACCTATAGTGTATAGGCTATACAGCCCTTTTAGAGACTGTAACGTCAGACAATGTCTATTGTGTTGCTTTTTAGGACTTTATGACTTGTGGAAATAACTAATTTCTTGTTACGCTCTTTTGAATTTCATTTCAATATAATCAGTGATTTTGATTATAGAGGTCTTAAAATTTGCAACAACATTTATTTTGATGTTGTGGCCCATTTTCAATCAAAAGATCGATATTAAATTTTTACTCTTTTTTACAGTTCAGGTGACGTTTTCCTTGCACTTGTAACACATCGAAATATTAGTCTAAGAACTAGAAAAGCATATATGTATGTATAAATTCTGGGCCATCATTAGATTCTAAAATAATCAAATTAGACTCTATTATGTATTCAACAGACAGACATTACTAGATCGTATTTGAATCCAACGATTTCAGGACTCAGGAAATGTGAGTACAGCAACGAAATTCAACTTAAACAAGTTTTATTTTTGGGCAAAATTTTGTAAGGATCAGTACACTTCAGGAAATTACTTTAACACCCATAACTCGCTTAAAATACCAGATTAACAACGAAATTCTATATTCGCAAGATCTATAGGAACAAAAATCCTGCTATCTAACTTTATGAGAATGAGTTCATATAAAGAGCCCCTCAGACAAGACTTGATCGTCCATAACTGGCTGCAAAATGTCAGTATATCAATGTCATTCGACATAAACTAATTTTATAGAATACAAAATCTTCTTGAAAACTTTTTTTTGTTAGGATATGTCTATAATTGACTCTTCCTCCCATATAAGCTCTCTAAAAAATACTTTTAATCCCCCGACTGATTTTAAAATATCAGTTTAGCATTTAAATGCGACATAGACTAGTTTTATAGAAACTAAAATCTGTCTGTAAAATTTTCTGAGGATCGGGCCATATTGGATCTATTCCAATACATAAGGTCCTCTTCAGGAAATAATGGTAATCCTAATAACTGGCTTGAAAAATCATGTATAGTAATGAAATTGAAATTGTGAAACCAAAATCTTTTTAAAATATTATTAAGATCGGTCAATATCTGACATTAATCCCATATAAGGTGAAGAAATATGATATGAATAACTTTTATAGGAATTCAAAATTCTATGAGGATCGGTCCATAAAAGACCATACCTCTTATATAACTTCATTTCTAGAAAATCAATTTATTCTCAAGGAATTATTAAACAAATTTGGTAGTATTATAGAATACAACTTAAATTATCACTCTTTTAAATTCTGTAGTGCGAATTCCATAACCCAAGTCGCCAAACTTAGAGTGATATCATTATATACGACATTATTACACATTTGATAAATGTATGCTTCGTTAAATTTTAATCTTCTTGGAAAATTAAGTATGTGCACTAAAATATACATACATATGTATGTATGTATGTATCTACATACATAAATGCTTGCAAGGATATATGTACAAACACATGTATATGTATCTTGTAAGATACTCTTTCTTAAGACCACACCCACTACTTGAGGTTTTAAAATCTCAAAAGCAAAACTTTCATCTTAAAAACCACAACTTGCTGCTATACTTAATAATGGTCATACTTTAAGCTATCATAATTACTGAAGGACATCATAAAGTCGGTCTTAACTTATTATCCTTATTCATATGAACGATACTCAGATGAACATCTAAAGAAGAAAAAAAATCATATTATATATCAACTTTAAGTATAACAAACATACACACACACATGTTTAGTCTCGTAAATAAATGTTATTTCTATATGACTATGTAAAGTTTTTTTTTTGCTATTTGTAAAAAAGATTCTATCTATGTCATAGAGAAATAAAAACTTTTACTTTATTTTAGTTGTCGTTTTATATTTTTTTTTTGCTTTTTTCATTATTATTTCATATTCTTTTGCCGGGAGTGTTTCAGACAAGAACAAGAACTATTTGTATGAAAGTTTTTAGTTTTATATGTTCATACATGAATATTAGGGTGGTATCGAATGGAGATAGAGTGTTCAAAAGATTCCAAAAATATTTTATCTTTGTTTGGTATGAAAAATATGCAATATCGGTCTATGATATCATATATGATATTAGTAATGCACAAAAATATTGTTAATATACCCACCTCAAAGTACACCAATCGGCTTAGAATCATTTTCTGAGTAGATTTAGATATGTCCATCTGTCCGTCTGTCTGTCTGTCTGTCTGTCTGTCTGTCTGTCTGTCTGTCTGTCCGTCCGTCTGTCCTTCTGTGTATCTATCTGCCTGTCCGTCTGTCCGACCGTCTGTCTGTCTGTCCGTCCCGTTTTAAAAAATTTGCTATATTTCTCACATGTAAACATGAAACAAAAACTTAAACCGTAATTTATGCAACACCCTTTATAAGTATGCATATGTTAAATGAGTTTATTTAGATTTAGTATGCGTTTCACAATTGACTTTGGATTTTGTTCTATAACGTTTTACGTTTTAGATTTTGTTTTTGTTTTTCATTGCTCAACATTGTTATAAAAATGTAAATTTTTTTATCAAAATGGAAATCTAGTTTGTTTAGTGTTTTTATTCGGTGGATGCAGATAAAAAAGAAAATTGAATTTATGTATAATGTACTTTTTGTATACTTTGATTCACAAATTGTTCAAAGCATTAGTTAACGATAATTTTAAGACAAAAATGTACAAATATGTATATAATTGAAGTACTAACACGAAAAGTAACGCAATTTTGTGAAAGTCACATTTCATAAAATATTTTAAAATTTCATATAATTTTAAAAATTTCTTAAAAAACTTTATCAATATTTTTAATTTAATTTGCTGCATTAAGCTAATTAATTAACTAATTTTATAGCCAACAAGTAAATTCTAAAAAAAAATAAAAATTATTTTTACAACTTTAAATTTAAAACACGTTTTAAAACAAAAAGTTTAAGCAAAAAAGAAACGACTAACAGTTTCAACTTTTCAATTGAAAAAGAACGAAAAAACAATAAAAAGTCTTAACTTTTTCTATATCCAAAGGTCTACATGCTGAGTGCCTTTATTCATTAGTATTCACTAGACAAACAATTAATTACCTAAATGTCATGATTCTTGATCGAAATTTTTGCATTTTTTTTATAAATCACTTAAAATTGTTGTTGAACGGTTTTTGTCCATACAAGTTCGTTGAAACTTTAGTTATCCGGCTTATTTGAAATAAAATAGAAAAACATTAGAGTAATTAAAAACCACTTAAATATTCATTCTGTCATCAAGTTAGTGTCCTTCATCATTCAGACAATAACACCAACCATACAATGGCACCCAAACTAACTGGGAGGAGAGTAATTTAAATAAACACTTTGTTAAACACAAACGCTCAGACATACACATACCTACCTACATATATATGGATGACAACGAGGTCAATCACAGGAGATATTTAAATGGACAAAATATGAAACTATATTTATAGAATATGTGATAACTTATAGTAAATTGTGATTCTCAGATAGCCTTGTATAAAAGTCTTATAAATCCAAAGAAAATCAATTTATTTCTAAACGAATTCTTAGATCAACCTCTTTTACCAGTTAAATGACCAAAGCTGAATAGCTAAAGCAATTACATTAACTAAATAACCCTTTAATACCACACACAGACACATACATGTATACAAATTTTCAAACTCTCACTCACACAAAGAAAAAAGGCTAACAAAAATACCACAACAAAATGTTACAAAACTAAAAGGACATCATCTGTCACCGTTAAAATGGGGACATAAAGTAATTATTTAGAGGGATTGAAAGGAAAAAGATAGAAAAAATAGAAAAATGAATAAACAAGAGTTTGATTACATTTAAAACTTTAAATAAATTTCAAAAAAGCAACAAACAACAAATATCTATATAAAACGTAGAACAAGAAGAAGAAAATGTTCACACTAGCACAGACACAAAACCACATTTATTTGTTACACTCACTGCTTTATCAAGTGTTTTAACCTAAATTAACTTTTACGTTTATTTACGCCCCTTATCTATTCTTCTCGTTTTCTATTTTGCACCATGAGCACAAAACAGCAACAAAAACCATTGATGTTCACAAAGAA